CACCTTGTTGTACACAGAACATGAAGAATAAGGTGACTTTGCCTTGGGGCCCAAGGTCACTGCTAAAAGCTGTTGGCATAGTAGCTGAGTTGAAGGTGTGTGTTTCCCAGCACTGGAGAGGGGAACCTGGCTGTCTGACTATTGAATTATAGTGGTGGCTGTGACTTCAGGTTTGGAAGGCACCCTGATGGTCTTGGTAGCCACTGGCCAGTATGGTCTTCATCCCCCAGCCCCATGATAGCAGAGCTGGCTGAGGCTGGGCACGTCTTCTGCTTGGGAGTATCTTTGCTCTGTGTGATGGATCACCTCTGTGGCTGCTGCTAACCTCTGTTGGTCCTTTTCTTGGGGGTCATATAATTTTAGGACTTGATAAGAACTTACATGTTTAGTTCATTCTCTTAATTTTAAGCTGAGGCTCATTTATCAAAGTTCTCTGTCTAGGTTTTGGTAGGGCTAGGCCTAGAATCCAAGTTTCTCAACTCATCTGATTATGCCACCCTGATTATTCTTTTTTCATTCTTTGTAGTAGATGAGGCAACCAACCATGTGACTCAGGACTCAGATCTCCTTGTCACTGCTCACACTAGAATTTTTCTTCGAGTTGTCCTGGCTGCCCTCCCCATCTTTCTTCCAAGTGCAAAGCCTCTTGGGCATTTGCTGAAGGTGGCATCTGGGCATCACGCAAGCTGTGCCAGCCTTCTTCCTAGAGCTCTTGCCAAGATCAGAAGGCTCTGATCTGATCAGGACATAGTGCAGCGTTCTTGCTGGGGCGATAAAACCATGCTGTCTCCCATTGACAGAGCACATGCTTGTTTGAGGAGAAGATAGTGTGAGAAAATGTGTTTTTTGGTCTTTATTGCTTTACCTTTTACTTTGATTTATGTCAAAAGTTCTGTCATTTGTTTGGATCATACCCAGCACCTCTTAACTGGAAGTGACGTGTGAATAGATTACGTTTATGTGAAATTGACTTCCAGTGTGCTGATAGGAGGGGTGACATGTGCAGGGCAAGGTCCCATCTGTGTCTCAGTATTGAGGTTATCAGGGTGGGATTTCAGGGGTCAGGACTCAGGGATGTACCCCCTGCCCCCCACTGGGTGTGGCTGTGGGCTGGCAGGGCCCAACAGAGGCTGCTTGTCTCAGTGCTTCACAGATACCCTTCCAGGGCCTGGTTTGCCCTTGGGGCAGCTGATGCTTGTAGAGCAGTGGTTCTCAACCTTCCTAATGCTGCGACCTGTTAATACAGTTCCCGTGGGTCGCGACCCACAGGTTGAGAACCGCTGTTGAAGAGGTTCCCTGGAGCGAGGCTGGCTGCTCTGGTTTCCTGATGTGCAGACTCACTTGGCTTCTCCCCAGTTCTCCCTTTTACTCTTTTCTGCATGTACTTACAAGCGTTTTCCTAGTACTCTCTGCCAGAAACGACCTTACCCTGAGGGCGACAGGCTGTGCCTGGTAGTTGAGAGTGTGCACCCCCCAGGTCTCCAGGGGGCCGGTTGGGAGAAGTAGTGGGTGGTGCCACTTGCCCCAGCATGCCCAGCCCACTGAACCACAGGAAGCATGCGCCTTCATTTTCTGTGTTCAGAACCCTCTTCTACATAGAGACTTCTTGATCCAGTGTTGTGAACCCTTGTCATGGGGGCTGCTCGGGGGTTCCCAAATGTGTCTGCGTATGCAGGGTAGTCTGAGTACAGTGGTGTTAAGTCCTGATTGTTGGTATGTGTGAGAAACCTTTCTAAGGTGATTGGGCAAGTTTGGTTTGTTTTACAAAGCCCTTAGAACTTTGAAGGTGGTGGGTGCCAAGGGAGGTAATTGTGCTGTCCTGCAGAGAAGCCTTCGGTTTCAACACTACAGCTGGGTCTTGGGCTGAGTGACTTTAATTTTTTCTTTCCTTTATAAAGTTATCATTTCAGCAAATGGTTTGAACTTGGGTAAAGGTGTGGTCATTTTCTCTGTACTCATTCAGTCAGCCAGTCACCTGCTAGGCTGTAGTTTTGCCCTGAGCTGTGGTGAATCATTTACATCCTTGCCAAGCAGTTGCAGTGCTGGGTGTTCAGCGCTCTCACAGGTAAGCAGGGAGTCCCTAAGAGCCCCTTACCCCCCAAAAGGAATGTCAGAGGAAGCTGGGGATGGTGTTATAGAAGTGACTTTTCAATCCCTTGAAGACAAAGGAGGGCTGTTCCGATGGAGGCCAGGGGTCAGCATTTGGAGTGCAGACTGTGGTGGGCGAAGTAGTTGGCAGTGAAGTGACATCCTGAGGACACTGTGAGCTCCGCAGCAGTATTCTTTTCTCTCTCTCTCTCTGGTCTTTTTTTTTTTTTTTTGCCTCAATGGCAGTGCATGCATGCTCTTTAGTGATAATATGGAAAATGCTGAAAAGGGAGAAAAAAATCTGTAGACTAGAGCCAAGTCATTCTGGTGTCCAGTCATCTTTGAAACAACTGTTTGCAGTCTAACCCTGGTGAAAAGTGGAAATAAGTGATGCATTGATGGAAAAAGAGAACATTGCTAAAAATGAATGCAAACATGGCAGGATTAGCTGGTGTGTTGCTGGGTCCCATGAACCTGTCCGCTGCAGTGTGTGACTGACCTCCCTGTCGTTGAGCCCCTGCCCCCTGCCCCCTGCCTGCAGAATCCGAATTCTTTCCAGTCCGGGCTGGGAGGAATGAGCCCTGAGGTGGGCTGTGTCCACAGCAGACAGTAGACTTTGTTTTAGCACTAGTCACTTCGGGGCTCTTCGTGCCCACACCAATCTTCCTCTCTAGCTGCCGCATTTCTAAAGGTGCATTTCTAAATGTCAAACCTAATGAAATAAATACCTTGTTGTAAATTAATTTTTGTTTGGATTTTCTGGTTTTATAATTGTGATTTTGGATTACCCATGGTTTTCTTCTGCCTCTTGCTTATTGAGAGTTGGTTGTGGATTCTTCTAGACTTTTTTTTTTTTTGCAGTTTTTAGCCGGGGATGGGTTTGAACCCGTCACCTCCGGCATATGGAGCCAGCACTCTACTCCTTGAGCCACAGGCACTGCCCCTGGACTTCTTTTCTTTCTTTCTTTCTTTTTTTTTTTTGAGGCAGAGCCTCAAGCTGTCCCCCTGGGTAGAGTGCGGTGGCATCACAGTTCACAGCAACCTCTAACTCCTGGACTCAAGCCAGTCTCCTGCCTCCGCCTCCCAGATAGCTGGAACCACAGGTGCCTGCCACAATGCCCGGCTATGTTTTTTGGTGGGCCCGGGCTGGATTCGAACCCTCCAGCTCAGGTGTATGTGGCTGGCGCCTTAGCCTCTTGAGCCACAGGCGCCAAGCCTAGACTTATTTTCTTAATTTAGACTTATTTTCATCATTTTTTGTATCACTTACGTTGTGTTTTCAGATTGTAGCCAGCTGACTCTGTTTAGCACGCTATGGTGAAGACTCAGGTGTTTTGTGTACTCCCCTCTCCTCGCCAGTGTTGGGGGAGTCCTCAACCAGCAACAATGGATAATCCCGTATGGTCCCACTGGAGCTGCCTGGGAGTTCCACGTGGAGAGAGATCTGTTTACAGTTAATACCTGCAGTTGCAATTTTTGACTGGAGCTTACATTAAAACCACTGTCTGTCTTCCCTGTCTGCAGTGTTTTAATGTCTAATTTTATGTCTTTCTTAAATGGCAAGTAATGAGACTCTTTTACCTTACTCTTATTGCTTTTGTATGACTGCCCTTCTCTCTTGTAACTTTTATTTTAGAAGTCAGGCCTAGGGTTTTAACCTAATGCTGTATTTCCTAGAGGCAGTAGTAGGCAAATTCAGTTACATCCATCAGGGTATATCAACACATCATTGTTGACGCGCCGACAGTTCCTGGGGTTAATGTGCCACAGCCATGTAGTCGGTCTGCTGAGGTTGCATGCCAGTAACTCTGCTGCTGGGTACTTGGGGTAGTATATACCATTTTCTAAATTTAAAGTTTATTTAGGATGGATTACTACAAGTGGAATTAATTGGTTTTAACAAGTTCAGATACTTTTTGCGGGCTTTGATTAGCATGTTAGATTACTTGCCAGTCTGGGTTTTCCAGAGTAGCCAGCAGGGTGTCAGAGGTCTCAGGAGCCAGTGGGCAGGAAGACCATGTGAAAGCCTCACAGAAGACCTGGGAAGAGAGAGACAAGCACCCAGGAGGGGTAGAGGGAACAAGGGCACTGAGGCTCAGGAACTCTTCACTCTGAGCATCTGGTATGTGGATTGAGGAGGCCTGTAGAGGGGTCCCCTGGAACTGAGTGCCCCTCAGGCCCCTGGTTTGTCTGCCTGGGCAGGTGGCCACAGTTTGTGTTGGTGGTGCTGTTCTAGCCATACTCCTGCAACAAGCTTGGATGAGTGATGGTTGGGTGGAGTTTGTGCAGGACTGAGAAAGGGTTTTCTCTGTTGAGTTCGCTGTGTGTGTGCTAGCATGTAGAAGTGGGCACCTGCTCCTTGGGGTTGGTTGGTGTGTGCTAGCGTGTGGAAGTTGGCACCTGCTCCTTGGGGCTGGTTGGTGTGTGCTAGCACGTGGAAGTGGGCACCTGCTCCTTGGGGTGGGTTGGTGTGTGCTAGTCTGTGGAAGTGGGCGCCTGCTCCTTGGAGTTGGTTGGTGTGTGCTAACACGTGGAAGTGGGCACCTGCTCCTTGAGGTTGGTTGGTTGTGCTAGTGTGTGGAAGTGGGCACCTGCTCCTTGGAGTTGGTTGGTGTGTGCTAGCGTGTGGAAGTGGGTGCCTGCTCCTTGGGGTGGGTTGGTGTGTGCTAGCCTGTGGAAGTGGGCACCTGCTCCTTGGGGTTGGTTGGTTGTGCTAGTGTGTGGAAGTGGGCACCTGCTCCTTGGGGCTGGTTGGTGTGTGCTAGCACGTGGAAGTGGGCATCTGCTCCTTGGGGTTGGTTGGTTGTGCTAGCGCGTGGAAGTGGGCACCTGCTCCTTGG